ATGCCCAGATCCTTAATTAACTCTACGCGATCGCGGTCCAAGTCACGCGATCGCGGAGAACAAAATACCAAGGCCTCCATATTGGCCTATGCGATCGCGACCGGACTAATGCGATCGTGATGCTTGACCCTTCAACTCTACACGATCGCGATGAACAAAAATCTGGCCTTCCATTTTCCTTCTATGCGATCGCAGCCCCAGGCTTGTGATCGCGATGAACAAATTTGGTCTGCAACTGCTGTTGCAATTTCTGCTACATTTTTCAACTTCAAACTTCCCGTTAACCATCCGAAATCACCCCGAGGCTCCCGGGACCTCAACCAAAAGTGCCAACATATCCTAAAACATCATTCAAACTTGTTCCAATTATCAAAACACCTCAAACAACGCTAAAATCATCAAATTTCATCGAATTCAAGCCTACGTTCTTTTAAAACTTCCAAAACACGCAATCGATCAAAAATCCAACCAAACCACGTCCGAATGACCTGAAATTTTGCACACACATTCCAAATCACCTAACGAAGCTACAACAATAGTCGGAATTCCATTCTGACTCCCGGATCAAAATATCACCTATCAACCGGAAATCGCCAAAATACTAACTTTGCCAATTCAAGCCTAAATCTACACCGGACCTCCAAAACCACTTCCGATCACGCTCCTAAGTCACAAATCATCTTCCGGAGCTAACCGAACCATCATAATTCATATCCGAGCCCTCTAACACACAAGTCAACTTTCGGTTGATTTTTTTCCAAACTAAGCCTTCCTTAAAGAGACTAAGTGTCTCATTTCTTATCAAAACCACTCCAAATCAACTCTAACACAGCCAATATCGATCATGAAACATAAAGAAGCAGAAAATGGGAAGAACGGGGCAGTAACTCATGAGACGACGGGTGGGGTCGTCACACAAAACAATCCATATTAGCAATAAAAAATTGAATGAGTTTTTTCCTGAGCTCGAGATTTAACCCCGTGCCCAGGTATACCTTTCGATCGGGCAGGTGTTCAATTAGTATGACTTGCTCCAGCTCTTTGACCGCTGATTTGGTACGGTTGGAATCATCGGGGACTATGAATGATCGAGGAACCCCCTAGTCATCGTCTTCATCAGTCCCCTCCTTATCTAGTTAGAACGAGGCCGGCATCGGTGGTTACTATTTGGCTTCCTGTTTTGCTTTCGAATCTGGATCTGTTATAGATGAGAGTATTGATATTGGAATTTCTTCATCGACGACAAACATTTCCTTTGCGGTGGACTGTTCCCCATAGATCATTTTAATTCCATCCGGTGTCGGGAATTTTAACATCTAGTGAAGGGTCGAGGGCACATCTCTCATATTGTGGATCCATAGTCTCCCGATAGGGCGATATACCTCATGTCCCCTTCAATCACATAAAACTTGGTCTCCTGGATGGTTCTGACTTCATTTACTAGCAATGTTATTTATCCCTTAGTAGTTTCACAAGCCATGTTGAACCCGTTTAACACTCGGGTTGCAGGCACAATTTGGTCCTGTAGGCCGAGTTGTTCTACGACCCTCGATCGAATGATGTTGGCCAAGCTACCTGGATCAATTAACACACGTTTAAAATCGAGTTTTATTCATGAGTACAGATATTAGTAGTGCGTCATTATGGTGCTGCATGATTCCTTCTGCATCCCCATCGTTGAAAGATAAAGTTCCTTCTGGTATGTAATCTCGAGTTCCATTTTCCCTCGTGATTGATACTTTGGTGTGCTTTAACATTGGACCTTGAGGAACATCTACCCCTCCGATGATCATATGAATGATGTGTTGAGGTTCTTCTTACTCATTTTGTTTATTGGAATCCCTGTTTCTGAAATGATTCTTGGCTCGGTCGCTCAGAAACTCCCAAAGATGCCCGTTGTTGAATAACCGGGCTACTTCTTCTCTCAATTATCGACAATTTTCTATTCTATGGCCATGAGTGCCACTATATTTAAACATTTGGTTGGGATCTCTTTGGGCTTTGTAAAGGTCGAGGCCATTTGGTATCTTTGATGCGTACGATTGTCGATACGATGGCAGCTGCATCAATGTTAAAGTTGTATTCTGATAATCATGGTGCTTCTTTGGGTCCGATAGGTCTGTCGAAGCTGTCCTTGCTCATGAGTCCCTGAGAGCTCTGGCCTCGATCACTCCTCCTTTCATTTCGTATAGAATTTCGCCCAGATCCGTTGCTCCTATGATCTCCAATATATGGCTGATATCGATCTCTGTTAGACCTTGGTTCTCGGTCAATATCCCTCTTGTTTCTGCCGATGGGCATGATAGGATAAGCGGACCTAGAAGGAGCCCCAAGTTGGTCATCTTCGACCCCGATCTTCGATTGATACTGATTATGCACATCGGCCTAAGTAACAGCCAGGTACTCTATCAAATTTTGCTTCAACTGCTGCAAAGCCACCGAGCTTCGAACATTGAGTCCTTGGGTGAAAGCTTGAACAGTCCAATCGCCGGCGACTGGTGGAAGGGCCATCCATTCCATTTGGAATCGGGACACGGATTCTCTAAGTATTTAGTTGTCCTTTTGCCTCACCTTGAAAAGGTCTGATTTTCTGGTTTTATCCTTGATGGCTCCATCGTGTGCCTTTATGAAAGAATATGCAAGCATAGAAAATGAGTAAATAGAATTATGTGGTAAATTGTGGTACCGTATCATAGCCCCCTTTTATAACGTATCTCCCTATTTCTTTACCAAGACAGATTCGATCTCGTCATCCTCTAGATCATTCCCTTTGATAGCACACATGTAAGAGGTGACGTCCTTGTTCGGATCGATCATTCCGTTGTATTTAGGAATTTGGGGCATACAGAAATTCTTGGGGATCGGCTTGG